TCCCCTCTAAGTCTGGGTGCCCTGGTAGTACCTTAGCACAGATACAACTGTGACAATTTCTTTAAATTTTAACTACATACTGCATCGGCGTCTGAGCTCTTCAGAAGCTCAGTTGGGTGGTAATTATGGACTTAACACTGGACAGACCGACAACGGCGAGCGTCTGTTGCAACTGTGTGCGGAGCACCAGTTGTTTCTTAGTAGCCCCGCTTTTAAACACATGGGGCACCGAAGTGCCAGTTGGCGTCCTCCTGTAGCCGGCCAACAATGGACCAAAATGCATCACTTTGACATAAGTTACTGGGAGCGTGGTTCCATCCTGGATTGTTGCTCGTCCTAGAATACGCGTGTCGACTCTGATGATGCTTTGGTACGCTGTCGTTCCTCCATGAACTTCATCGGAAGGCGCACCAAGCATCTCCTCCGAGTGGCAAAGTAGAACTTGTTTCAGCCCTTGGTAAGACAGGCTTATCAAAACGCACTGCGTACCGAATTTTTGCTGTCGTGTCGTAATGAAACTGAGCTTCAGTGGACTAGGACCTCGGCCGCCATGCACGACACAGGAGCATCTGCTTATGGCATTATTAATCTTCACCATGCTAGTCACTGTGAATCTGTTAGAATCCAGAATAAACCTCCTGGCTGGCTATAAGCACAATGCGATCAGAAGGACAACGAGACGCGAACTAAAGCAGAGCCTGTGAACTGACAACGAAGCCTGCTGAACCATTCGGGCTCAAGAATTGCAGGACACAGAAGTACTAGGCAACTGTCGCAAGCTTTTCCAGCTGATCCGCATCACTAGTTCCAGAAAACCAGGCGTCAGTGAGACCATCAGAGACAGCGCGGTTGTTCTGATTCACAATAAGGAGCGCCACTAGGCTCGTTAGGCAGAACACTTTCATAATCCGTTTGATTGGCTCCCTGCTTCCGGACTTCTTGCTACGCAGGTGATGCAGGACGTGCCATGGCCGGTTTGTCTAGTGGCTCCATCGGAGGCTGAGGTTCGAAACGCAATCACAACCCTCAATCGTTTTTGTACTGCTGGCCAGGATTCCATCCCACCTGCAGTATTTAAGAATGGAGATGAGGTTTTCTGCAAAGCACTGAACTCCCTTTCCGAAGGAAGAGACCTTCCCGATTAACCGGAGTGAATCGATTATAGTGGCAATATACAAGAATGGCAGTCGCACTAATTGTGCTAACCACAGGGGCATTAGCCTAACGCTGGCGTTGGCAAAATTTCTGGCCTTAATTCTCATTCGTCGCCTCATTACGGAACGGGAATCTTGGATTAAGGAAGAGCGGGCAAGTTTCCGTCCAGGACGGGGTTTGTTTAGACCATATATTCACTCTACGGCAGTTGCTAGAGCAGCGCCACGCATATTGCAAAGCGACGATAGTTGTGTTCCTCAACTTCGAGATTGCCTTTGACTCAGTCGATCGACGCATTCTGTTCGATATACTTTCGCAGAAAGGTGTTCCTATAAAATATTAAACATTTTACCTGCTCTGTACCCCAGCACGACAAGCCGCGTCAGGGTCTACGGTGATCTGTCGGATAGCTTTCCGACAACAGGTGGCGTTCGTCAGAGTCGTCCAATTCCCAATTTTATTCAAATACTTAGTGCACTCCATCATTGTGTGTTCCGTTGCGGGATCTCCCGATACAGGCGCTGAGTTGTTGCATGCTGAGGTTAGTCGATCTTGATTTTGTGGACGACTTTGGGGCCGCGCAATCCTGAATAACGTCACTAGAGTGGTTCTATTATTTGGTATACGCTTCGCACCTTTAAAGTGTTGCTGCTGGACCACCAGCCACTGGATGATTTCTTGATCCTTGATAGGGAGGAACTCGAGATATCGGATCAATTCAATTAAGTTGGCAGCTGTATCAGCAACAATGGGCGCATATCAACCGAAGTCAGTTCACATATTGCGAAAGCCAGAACTGGCTTTTTGTATTTGCGACAAAATGGGGTATCCGTCCGCATGAAGAGCCGTGTTTACAATGCCAGTGTGAGAGCTGTCCTACTGTATGGTCGGTGTCGAGATCTGAGGCGTATTCAGTCTTTAACCATCGATGTCTGCGGAGCATTGCTGGTGTCAAGTGGCACAAGTGTGTCCGTAATGATGATGTGCTTAAGCGAGTACTAGGATAACCGAACTAGTTCCTCACAACAGGTAGCACTGAATACGCTGCGTTGGCTTTTGCACGTAGTACGTATGCCCGATCACAGCTTGCCTAGGAGGGCTTGTTTAGTCTGCTAGATGTGGACGGAAGTTAACTGACGACCAAACTCAGTCAGTCCCGTCTTTCGGGTTGGAGTCCACTTGACTCGCCTTGCCTTTGGCTCGAGACTACAGGACATAGCTGGCAGTCGACACCAGTGGCGCATCTGCCGCCGTTTCCTAGTCGGACTGCCTGTTTAAGTTGTGATGCTGAGTTATAGGCAGCGTAATGGTTGATCATGATGCGGGGCAGTAAAAGCCGCAAAGAAGCTGTCTCGCCGATGCTGTCTTATCTTTACACCATAGTCAGATGTTTGTGATGGTGTTTTTGAGAAGGTGAAGGCGAATTGATCCTGAATGGTTGCTTAGGGTATTAAGGTTTTCCGGTAAGTCCCCCTTCTCTCGTAGCTCGTTATGATTAGATGGCAGCGAAGCATCAGTCCAAATGGCTGATGTACCGCTCCCCTCAGTCGTCACGCGTATTGATGAAAGCTCACTATTATCGATGCTTTGTGTCCCCATCAGGTTTCCATGACGATGCTTATGATGAATGGCGCTCCTCTAAAGAATTCACCATCTCACACCAACTGCATTGTTTCAAAGCATATCCTGCCACTTCCCTCATGTACACAAATTCAGGCATCCACCTTAAACCAGTGGTACCCAACCTGTTTGAGGCTGTTACCCCTAAAGCGGATACACACACTATAAACCATTACCACTAAAAACTTTTCTTTCACAAATTAACTATTAGGCGCTGCACGTTTTTGTTTTATGTTATGGAAAATAACTTTTTCCTTTAACGAATTTTAATCATTCACACAAAGAAAATCTGCTTATGGACAAATTTTGTTATTATTAAACCAAGGGCTGAGACGGTTGATATTTCTTACTCTCCAATAATTTAACTTTTGGCCCAGTTTCGGTGAGTGCACATCGTAAGTCGTGCTCCGAGTGAAATCGCGGTTCTTTAGTTCTTGTTTTGTTTCATGTAATCCACACAAACTATTAAAGTTCATAAATTAGCGAACTCCAAGACACCAACCTCACATGCAGGAATTGGACATAGAACGGCGAACGAACAACGAGCGATCTGGTAGCTGCATTGCAGTACAGGTTTATATTCATATTTTAGGTAATGACATTAACAAATGTCATTGGGAAATTGGTTGGGAAATCATTAATGATTTGCCATTGATGGCTAATCATTAGTGATTAGGTAGTTAGTTACATGAGCGATGATTCAGCCTCGTACTTACCTTTTCCCCCTTATATCCTCCCCTATGATGATAAGTACCCCCAGATGGAGACACACTGCATTAAACCATTAGACAGATGGTGACTAAGCGTAGTCCTTTATCGTGCCGGAAATTATCATTGATGTCCTGAGCAGCAGATATACTCATATGGCAGGACGTTTGTGGGGAATTTGCGATAGTTTCTGACCCTTAGGCGAACTTTATCTCGGATAGTCTTCTTCCTCACCGGAAACAATACTACACAAGTACACACCGGCATTGTGCTGTTGCTTCACTGTCTTTCAGGCGTAAATCTCAAGGGGAGCCCAAATGCTCCAACTACATGTTCAGTATCGGCGAACCTGCACCGTCGCAAGATCCCACATAGGGGCTGTCACCACTCCGCGCCATAGCCAGTCGTACCTCACTGATAACTCTGAAACCGATGCACTTCAAACAGGCAATCTGGTTAGAAGTTGGTGACGAAAAATGCCCCTGGTGCTATCGAGCGAAGCACCAGGGGTTGATCGCGAGTAGCCCAGCATAGAGAGCGGAAGGGTCCATCGCCGTTTTGTTTCCATTTGCCGAGTAAATGATTGTGTTCATTTGTCACACGTCGTTCTGGACCAGGTAGATAAAACGAAATTCCCCCCATTAGATACCAAATCCAACGCAACCTATTCAACATTATGGACTGTAGCGGATGCACTGTATCGCCCATAACAGGGGGTGTTGAAAGCTTTGAAGCCGTACCCCAGATCATCAGGTGTCTCACTGTTGTATAGGAGAACGGCCTCCACTGCGAACCACGTATACGCGAGTGATGGAAACACATTTCAAGCACCCCGCTGATGCCATAGGTTCACGAAGGCTGCTCTGACGTTTGCGATTTGTGAGCTAATTTTAACAGTCATACGTCCACTGTTGTCAATGCAATTGTCAAGTGTATTGATCAACGATCTCCAGCTCCTACTTGTCAAAGATGCAGCAAGCTACTGGTCGCATTGTAACAGCATTCCACTGTCTGAAGTTGTAATCTGCATGCCGAACGAGGTGACCTGACTTGGTCTTCTTGCAACTCCGAAGCAGCAAGACGACATCATCTGCATACCCGGATCGATCTGTATTCACCTTAATCAGAACCTGAAGAATCCCCTAAGTTGACGTTTTATGACGCAGTCCACGGTTTGGCCTCAACACGAGAAAACACTTCATTAAATATCACTGACGGGTTACAATGATGCTGTACAAGGAACGGTAATTCAGAGGTTCCATTACAATTCACAGCATACGCATAATTACACATCTGATGCCGCACAGATACTGTCTTAAGAGACACGCGATCTTTGTCCTCACAATCATTGGTCATCTCTTTAGACAATTTTTGACTGATGGGAGATTTCCCAGAGGTATTGGCATTTTGAGGTAGCGGATGCAGTGCTCATTAGTAGACTGATATTTACTATATTTCATTCCTTACAAGCGTTTCTTAAACGCTAACTTTTTAATCTAACACGTAACGCTATACAGGACACTATCACGCACTCGGATGTGGATATCGCTCACGAGGAGGAGGTTGGATTTGACGGGCCACACACATTTGGCACCCTTGGCAGTCGCTCCCAAGATGTTGAGCCGCTTGAGTCTTCTGTTCCAGATACGGGAGCTCTCGGAACCACGGCATTCATGGAAGAGATGGAGGATGGAGAGGCGCCAGATTATTGTGTCGTTTGCGGACAGTTGGAGCCTCCCGAATCGATTTGTCAACCCAACTCTGATCCCGAGGGCGCGGATGATCTCCAGGTTTGCACACCCCGTTGTCTGTCATGCATCTGTTTTGTTGTTTAACACGGTGATACGTAACTAATTTTCCCCATCGTTCCACGACTTCGTACGCTGGTTTCACCCATGAGCCATCCGCATTCAACCAGTTTTTAGACACGGTCACCCGACGTGTCCGTGCTCCGAAGGCAATGCTCACTACATTTAGCTTAAACGGCCTTATACCTCTCTCCAATCCATTCTTTTAACTACAGAATGCCAACTGCCTCAGTGGATGTGTCACTCTGTAGCCCTAGGATGACGCTCGGTACCACCGTACCCGTTGGAGCGAATCGAAAGCATCCGTAGTTTTCAAATTCGGCAATGTTTGTAGCACTTGAGGCTTTCCACCATCCAGTGGTCATTGCGCTTACTATACACCTGTGGTACTATCCCATCGTGTCTCTGACCGCTAGTATACATAGGCATTCCTTATCCTTAAGATTCAGTGCACCGTTCTTTCATAGGTTTTGTGAATAATTGATGTGAGTTCGTTACACGCCAATGAAGCATTTCTGTTCCTCCACCGGTCTCTGTAGCCACATTCGACCCACCCATCTAGAAAATCGATTCAGAGCCGGCATACAAGCCACAGATTATCTGTCATGCATACGTGGCTTTTCAAAGCTGCCACCTCTTCCTGACCATATATGGTGGTTCGCTTTTTTCCTCCCTCACTTTCCGAAGCACAGCAACATCAGCTGAGTAGAATGGGTTCACTGTATCCTTCCCATTTGATTAACGGAACTGCACAGCCTAGCTGATGGTTTAGAACGATTGGTATCTCATGCGTACCATAGCGTTACACCTAACTACCACGATGTACCGTAGCTAAAACGAGCCTCGTGTAAGTGTCCCTTGTGCAAGAGACTATCTGTAGTATTTTGAAAGGATTCATCGTCAGTTATAAAAACTGTTAGACAACCTTTTCGTCTTCTCGGGACTTGTACTCTGCATTATCTACGAGAAAGATGCGAAACGGTCGTATAGTATTTTCCTTAATGTTTGATGGCCATCTGGCTGCGTCGAATTTCCACAAACTACCTTAGTACTCTATCATTTTCGTTAGCAGCATCGACTGTATACCGTTCATTAATTTTTTCAGGTTGTCGACTGGGTCCATTGCGATTACTGCAATCGCTGGGTGCATTGGAATGGTTCCTGCAGTGAAGGAGCTATCATCGCAAACAATTCTTTCATGTGTATAGTCTGCCGACATGATGGCACAGTGCCCGCAAAGCCAGCAGACACCGAGCAGAGTTGCGTTTCCCCCTTGATCGCGAACGAAGAAACGATCAACCCGCCAGCATCAACAGGCTGATGCGATAGTGTACAGTCACATTCCTATGTTCATATTCTCAATGCCGTGTTTATACCGCTTTTTGTGCAATGTTTTCTAATGTGCATACTTTCCATCGCGTGCTTTTGTTTTCCAAACGGCTTTTTGTATAGTTCATACTTTCATTCGCAATATTTCACACTTAAGCGCCAGGCCGCGTCTTCAGTGTTTTTCGTCAGCAATCATTGGTCTGGTCTCTTCAAATCAACCTTTTGAATTTACGGTTCCTGTTCAGAAGACCCATTTTGGTTTCAGTTCCTGTCTCGCGTTCATTTGTGCCGTATGGATGATGTTAACTTCAGACATTGGCTGTGCTCCCTTGTAAATACATGACGTTGCTACTATCTCCTCATCGTTTGACTTCAGTTGCATGTGACAAGCAAATATTCTGCCTATGACTGTTAGAGACTAAAGCCAAGAACTGGCTCCATTGACATTACAGTTTCAGAATTCTAATTCATACCACAGAAATATCTAGACAGTGACTATTTCGAGATAAGTCTCGGTACGATGTACTTCTCCTGCGTGGCATGGTGGCCGTGATTTGGCCCTCGTAGCTATTTGGTGTCATTGGATAAGTAAAGTCAGACACCGTTCAGTGACATACGACATGCGCTAACAGCAAACCACAAGGACTTTGAAGCTAAATTTAATCCTTTCGATGTTGCTTCCAGCCTTGGCTTATCACTCGTAGAGAACTGGAAACCGAAGCTCTGCGCTTAGGTCGCGTCGAACATCTCTTTAACCTTCCGCCCCTTTTGCTCATCCACGGCTATGATATGTCTCTGTCAGTTTACAAATCAAACTGACCCGATCGCGTGTTTCTCCACCGTCGGGCTACATTGCGACGAACGGGTACGCCATTTCTTCCAAACTGGCACACATTGCACAATTTGGTGTCAAGTCATTTGTCTGAAATTGACTCAGTGATGAAAGTGAGTGAGTGATCTCCGAGCACAACCGTCCTATCTGGCACAAAACGTGCGTTCAATGTAGAACATCCGATGTTGAAACGATGACACTTGAAAAGTTGCAGCCTTTTTAACAGTTAATCATTTACGCGTTGCAATTGACATCAGCAGCGCTTTGAGATATACAGTGTGCTCTCCAGTTCAACGGAAGGTAGAATTGTAAAATCACTCATTTCTAACTGACAAGGAGCATGATGCCTATGCACCATGCTTTCATTTCGGTTTCAACGCTGTAATATTCCTCTGAATCGCCCGGACACCGCCGAGATAGATGGTGAACTTGTACAGAAAACCTCGATCTCAAACACAGCACAACTACTTCAGTCCGTCTTAGCTGTCCGCGAGCGGGAGCCCCCACAAAGAGCGCACTTCTCGATCTACAACCTAGGATAACGCCCGCGGACATACAGCATTGCTGCGTCAGTAACGTGAGAGCCTGATGAACGAAGGAAATCGCCGGGTCGCACTCTGTTGTTTACCTCAACTCTCAATCTTAAGCACTTCTGACGTGAATAACAAGCGAACACACCAAAGCACAAATGATAATAATTAAAAAACAAACAATTAGTGGTTACAACAATGATGCATTTACAAGGACGGTTGGATAAGCTCCTTACTCGGAGCAAGTCATAAAAACACGCATGATTGAGATCAGACTAGAGCACTTGGCAGGACAGGGTCGTTGGGGAACAGTGGGAAGTCGCTGGGCACATGAATCAGTGGCACGTGGTTCGGTGGGATATTGCGGAACACATCGGAACTGTAGTCACGCATATGACATCCTTTCAATTTGATCTCCCAATCCAAACGTTGCACCATCATGAGTGACTCGGCCTCGTGCAGTTGGCGGCATAACAGTTTTTTCTACGCAAAAGGGAATAATGTGGCAAAAGTCCCATCACAGAAAGTAATACATCATATAGTTCACAAGATGGGTCATTTTTGTTTTTTTGGTGTGCACCCGGTTCTAACTTCCAAATTGGAGAACCGCGAGAATTTAATTCATACTCGCGGTCCTCCTTTTGACTATGGCTCCCGAAGGACATCAGGGGAGACACACAAACCGCTGCGGCGTGTTAAATTTGTTCGCAGTAGGATCAACACCAGATGTGCAAGGAACAAGCAACTTTAATAGCTTCACAATCATGCGTTCGGAAACACGCTTGGTTGCTACAATCCTGTGGATGTATTTCCGAGTTTCACAACAAACCTAATGGTGTTGCCTGCTGACCAATCTGACGGAGAGGAAACACAGAAGAATTCTGTGTCAAGCGAAAGATGGTATAAACCATAGGCATTAATGGATGGCTGTTGACGCAAGAGGGCAAAATTCAACGAATGAAACTTTGTGACCCTCATTGTTTAAGCGGAGCCACTGGTGTCACGTGCGCGCGGCATGCGGATACTGTCTGAGAAGGAACACAACCTAGAACCGACCACACACTAGTTACTAATCCCCAGAGCCTAGTGACATCCCAAAGAGGAAAGACATGTTTTGCTAAAATATCATCATCAGCAGCAGCATTACACCCGCGAATCGGATTTATCCTTCGCTGTTGTATAAATACGGTGCCCTAAGGAATGAAGAATTATAAATAGGAGAGAAAAGGGACCTAGCGTAAAACCTTTTTCCCTTAAGCAACATTCAGCGTCAAGGCGCCGACACCTTGTGTTAACAACATACCGTTACAAACAGCTGGCTATGGTTCAAAGATATCGCGGCATTAGCGAGACAACCCCCCTGCGACTTTCATTGTCCCGCATCATAATCAACCATTACCCCGCAGATAACTCAGCACCAAACACACTTTAAACAGGCAGTCCGACTAGGAGACGGCAGAACGCACCACTGGTGTCGATTGCGAACCATGTCCCGTAAAGTTTCGAGCTAATCATAAGGCGAGTCACATGGACTCCAGTCTGGAAGGCAAGACGGACCGACGGCATCCAGTTTGGTCGTCAGTGACTTCATTCCCCGATGCTAAGTCAACTTATGTCCACCTCGAGCTTTGCGCCATCCACATCCGGCAAACAAAACAAGACCCTCCTCGGTAAGCGGTGACTGGGCATACGTAGTGCGTGCCCAAGCCAACGCAGCTTATTTAATACTATCTATCGTTCTAAGGAACTAGCCTGAGTATAACTGCCTAGCACTCACATACATCCTCGTTACAGACATGCTAGCGCCATCCGACACCAACAATGCTCCGCAGGCAGCGATGACCAAAGATTTGTAGACACCTCAGACAAAAGGGGCCAAATCTCACTATCATAGAGCAACACAGCCCTCACACTGGTCTTGTAAACACGAACTTTCAGACCGAGATAAAACGCTTTCTGACGCCAGAGATGTTGCGAATTTAAGAAGGTACTTGTAGCTATTGCAATACGTGAACTGATTTCAGTGCTTATACGTTGCTGTCAAGTTAAGTAATTTGATCAAGTACCTCGAGTTCCTCTCTGTCAATGATCAAGAAGTCATCAAGTGGTGAGTGGCCCTGCAACAACAACTGCACTTTGAAGGTGCGTTTTGCATGCCAAATGGTGGGACCATGCTATAGAGGTTATTCAGTGTTGAGTTGGCCGCCCCAACATCGTTAAACAGCAAGACAATATCGTCCGCATAATCAAGAGGAACCTGCTTCTCACCAGGCAACACTTTAATACCTGCATCATAAGATTCCGCAAGGGGACAATCCATGATGGAGTCGACTACGAAGTTGAACAAAAGTGGGTAAACTGGACGACCCTGACGAACGCCCCTTGTTGTCGGAAAGCTATCCGACAGGTCACCGTAGACCCTGACGCGCGACCTGTCGTGTTGGAATACAAGGCACGTAAAATGTTCACATATTTAATAGGAACACTTTTCAGAGCAAGTATTCCGAACGCACTGTTGAACTCGAGAAACACAGCTATTGTCGGTCTACGCTATGTGATAGCGTAGTTCTAGCACTTGCCGCAGAATGAACATGTGGTCTATGCAGTCACGTCTTGGGCAGAAACCTGCAGTGAAGCGAAGAACGAGAATCGAAGTCAGTATTTTTGTCACCACTGGCGTTAGGCTAATACCGCTGTGGTTAGTAGGCAGCGCGGCTTCCCCTCTTGTATACTGCCATCATAGTCGATCCGCTCCAGTTAAGTGGAATGGTCTCTTCGTGCAAAACCGGTTCGAACAATGCGGTCAATGCTTTGCAGAGGACCTCATCAACACCATTCAATAGTGCGGGTGCGAGGGAACCCGGGTCAGCAGCACAATAACGATTGAGGGCTGTGATCGCGTTTCGGACCTCAGCCTCCGACGGAGGCTCTAAACTAACCGTCCATGGCTCATCCTGCACCACATGCGTAGGGAAAGGACCGGAAACAGGCGACCAATTGAACTGCTCCGTCCAACGAGCCATACGGCGGTCTTGAAGGTGAATCACTGCACCTGCGCCGTCTCTGATTGTCTCAATAACGGACAGTTTCCTGGGATCAGTGGTGCGTATTAGTTGGAAGAGCTTGTGACAATTGCCTACTGTTCCAGCCTCCTCCATTTCTTGAGCCCGACTGGTCCACCAGGCCTCCTTGTCTGCATGTAAGCTCCGATTTAGTTCGCGCCTAACAGTCCGCCTGGTCACATTGTGCTCAGAGACAGCACGGAGTTTCCTGCTGCAATGCAGCAAGTTCAGCGAACTCCCGGATATCCAGTGACTGGTGTCTCCTCAAGCAGAGGCCTCAGCATCATGTATGGCGACCGAGACTTTATTCCACTGAAGCCCAATGTCATCCGGACGGAAGAGTGAACGTTCGGTATGTAGGGCATCTTGGCAGGCTTGCCTGACAGAGGACTGAGATAATCATTCAAATGCCAGTCGCAGAAGGTGCTTCATACGCCTCCCAGCACACGGAAAAACTGGAGTACCAAGACATGACCATTATATAGGTGGGTATTTCAGAATGAGCGAAGATCCAGAATGGAACCACGCCACGACAGTCGCAACGATACAGTTTCCCTAACTCTTCGACCCATTGAACTATAACGGGCGATGCTCCAAGGCGCCCTGAGAGCTACGCCTAACAGATTGGTCAATGGTTAGAGGTCAGACAAAGTCAGTCTCCTGGCCCTCCAGGTTGGGGGTTGGAAAAGGGATGACGTACATTTCTGTAAAACCAAATTACTGCCACATCCCGGCTGCTATGTGGACAGGCTTTTAGGTCAAAGGCATTGGTTGAGAACCATCCTCCTGGCGGTATCTCAGCCGATACACAACCACGGCTTTTACCTCAAAGTCAAACCACATCCTGCACCGACAGCAGCGCAGATTATCAAGAATCGCCTTATCTGCTACATACAGAAGGGCGGATAAGCGAAAACATGCCACCGCTGGCGCCTCCCTTCTCTCTTTGTCACCTGTTTCTCGTACTTCCTCCCTACTCACAATACTATCGCTGCTTTTACAATTCCCAGCTTCAGTGAAAGCAGGCACAATGTAACTGCAGTTCTACCATCTGTAGCTATCTTCCCGCATCACACACTGGACGCCTAAAAGGTAACAACCTCTTATGAGGCCACGCTGTCCCGTTTCGCTGGCGTCATTCAACGTTCGCACTCTAAGACAAATTGGTCAACAGCTTGCGTTCGCAAGCTCACTGTGTCTAAAAGCGGTGCTACTAAGAGACAGTGCTCCGCGCACAGTTGCAACAGACGCTCGCCGTTGTCCGTACGGTCGGACTTAAATCCATAATTACCATCTATCTGAGATTCTGAAGAGCCCAGACGACCTACTCGCGCATTACTATCATCTACACTCTTTCCACCACCGTCCCATGTGACCCGGTGATAAATATTCCTGCTGTACGGATTCAAACCTCCCGCTGTGTTTGAAGAAAACATCTTGCCGCTGTGTTACATCCGACGATGATATTGATTAGTTAGTTCGGCCACATCGCGTTCTTATTGGCTTGCCTCGCATGGGCTAATCTATAGTTCCTCACTCATGTTTAACTCGTGTGTCATGCGAGCTATGTCGCACTGCTTCTCCCGATACACTGTTTCGTACTGTGCCTTGTTCTTGCCTAACTGCGGTCTGGGGCGTGCTTTGATACGTATTACGCTGACTTCTGGAAAGACGAAAGGATCATCCAGTGTGAGTCCCGATGTTTTGTCGTTGGCTAACTGGCGGAAACCCCGCTAGATTCCACCAGAATCAGTCGAATTTGCTATACAACTCTCTTAGAAACAGTGTGCAACTGGACTGATATACGACACAGTTCGATGACTGCCGGGTTGGTGAGGAAAATCCTGCTCTTGAGGACGAATTCTATCACAGTGGAAAACGCCTGCACTTCAGGTGTGCGCTTCTATTTTATATTATCACATAGCGTTTGAATAAACAAGCAAAGCGATGGACCCTTACCTTCTCCCCCTGGAAAGAGTCTCGGATGTCTTCCAACCAGCCAATAAATGTACGCTGAGTGAAACGATCGCGTGCACATTCTTCATCCTGTTTAAAAGAATGCACAAAAAAGGATAGAGAGTAAACGAGCGGACACAACACATATTTCGGGTGTGGTCATCATCAAGTCGAATGCGGGAAATAGTGGCGCAACCAGAATAACGATTACATGGTAGATGAAATACGAGCATGAAAGTAACCACAGAACAAGGCCGACTGCATTTTTGTTTGTGATGTGGAGAGATCACAGAAGGCCTTGAAATACTGTACTGCCCCACCAATCACAACACTACGTGAAACAGCCTTGAGTAGGCACGTGTCGTAAGCGCAGTCATGTGTCGAACACAAGCGGATAAATCAATTTGGAGGCGGTGACTGCTGAAGTACACGGATGTGAATTCGTTTAGTGACACGAAAAAAGTAACCAACAGCTGTATATTCATGGAAAAATTCAACTAACAAACGAAATGTATCTAGAAAGCATCCGAAATTGTCACTAGGGTCGAGTGGCAGACAGAACAAGTTTTTAATATCCTGAATGAAAATGTCGACACCGTATGGATAAGTGCAAAAAAGGTAATGGAAGATAAAGGTGGTATATGAAGGGTCAATTCATTGTGCCCGTTGGGATCAAACCAGCCCCGATCAAGAAACAGATATATAATTATATAGAACAGTGTGAAAACGCTTGGAACGCTGGGCCGAGCACTTGGCAAGGCTGTTCAACTAATCTGAGTTATCACTTTTTCTTTCGCGCATGAGTGCCCTTCTCTATGGGCTGTCTCTTTCGATCCGCCCACAAGCACAGAAGTTGAACGTGAGATCAGAGATTGAAATTGCATAACGCCGCTGGTCCAGATAGAATTCCCCTATCTCTCTACGAATTCGGGGGACCTGCTCATGTGGATGATTTACACGAGTTGCTAATGGAACTTTGGGAGCAAAAAGCTATCCCGACAGATTGGAGTCGCTCCGTCCTAGTCCCAATTTTTAATAGAGGCTTCCATTCGGAATGCGGCAACCAAAGAGGTATCAGTCTGAACTCAGCTGCCTCTACATTGCTTGCTTCTCTCTTTCTCCATAGACTGACTAGCGCTCGTGAAAGCCAGATCCGCGAAGAGCAACCGGGCTTCGTCGAAAGCGAGGCTACATCGACCACATCATCTCTGCGTCAACTGCTGGAGCACCGGCATGTTTATTGGCCACCCACCCTAGTCGTCTTTCTCCACTTCAAAGGTTCCTTCGATTCAGTCGATCGATGTGCGCTTTTAGACTGTCTGCTGAGAAAAGGTGTGCCCGATAAATATGTAAACATCATCAAAGCGTTGTACGCGCATAGTTCGGGCTGAGTGAGGGTTTATGGCAAACTTTCACAACCCTTCAATATCTCCAGCGGTGTGGGACAATGTTGCCCTCTGTCACCTTTCCTCTTTAACTTCGCTATTGATGGAGCCATGGAAACACCGTCCGCTGGACACGACCTAGAAGGTGTGGAGCTACTTCCTGATGAGCGACTTCCTGACTTCGAGTATGCGGACGACATTGCCCTCATGTGTGACAGCGCCCAAACGTGCCAGGCTGCACTGGACCGATTAGCACTGACTGTCAATCGTTTTGGACTATGCTTTTCTCCATCGAAACACAATGTACTTCTTCAAGAATGGCAGGGACCCACCCCTTGGTAGCGATCAGCTACAGGTCTGTCAGAAATTCAAGTACCTAGGCAGCTATATTACCGTCCGTGGGATCGAAACTGAGATTACGAACCGTATAGCAAAAGCTCGATGTGCTTTTGCCAATCTCCGCCACCTGTCGCACAGACGCGACATCACTCTCTCACGGAATGGTAGAGTGCATAATGCAGCCGTGCGTTCAACCATCTTATACGGTTGTGAAACCTGATCCATCAGGTCGACAGGCATAAAGAGGCTCGTCACGTTCGGTTATCGCTGCCTTCACAGCTTAACTTATGTCTGGTGGGAGCATCGCGTGAGCAACGAGCGTGTTTGGCGTCGCGTATTTGGTGCAGAAAGAGTGAGTGAATCTCTCAGCACCATTATATTACGCACCCGGATCCGACGGCTAGGCCACGTGTTGTGCATGCCATCACACCGACTCCCACGACGTGCATTGGTGGTGCGATTGAGAAAGGGAGAGGGGAGGCGAAGCGATGACTTGGTCGAGATGGATGAAGACCCTCACATCGAAGTTGGCGTCGGATGGTGCATCCCGACTGCCTGGCTAGAGTCCTAAGAACATTGAACACGTTTGGTTGGACACACCTGCTGATATGACTAGGATTGAGCCCCAATGGTGTTCGTGTTGTGAGTTCGTTTGTCCGCCCCCCTCTCGCTTAGCTTCCCGTTCCAATTGCGATCTCATTCGTTAGGCATAATATAACTCTCTTTGTGCAGCACGATAGTCAGCTGATAGCTCTCCGGAACGATGTCCATCCGTTACTGGGGACTCAGCGGGCATACCACTGTATTTTTGTTGTCTTTTGTATTACGGCACAATAGCTGTAAGTGTTTTCCACCTAAAGCTAACGTGTATAATGATGATGATGATGAGAACAGTTAGAAGCCAACTAATGTTCAATTTTGATCAAAGAGCTATAAAGCACAAGAATGAACTAATCAATAAGAATGGTTCTGATTGACGTACGCGTTGTTCTGCTTTCGGCACGGCCGGAACGTAGGTTAGGTCAGTGTAACCCAAAACGGAGCAGAAAGATAGCGGTTTAGACAAGTTGGCCAAAGCAGCCCGAGTTTGAGCACGCAGACGGGCTTGCTCTGCACATAATCTAAGGTGTTCCTGTATCAGAGAGAGAGAGAGAGAAGGTGCAGCGCGAAGAGGCGTAACACATGAACGTGAGACCAATCATAGGCAAATGCGCAGTAAAGTATAATGTCCTGATATGGTTATGTAATCTAAAAGCCGCCCTTCGATAAAATTTGTCCATATTGTCCAGCTTGAAGTGCATAGATGTCAACAATGGTTGGGTCAGGAACCTGTCCAACCGGCCGCTCAGTGACGTTGAACGACAGATCCTCATCAAGGGACTTAACTACAACTTCAAGGATGCTGGAACCACGGAGTTCCTCGCAGAATTCGAAAATATCTTACAATCCAATGGATTTAACGAACAGGCAAAAACACAAATGAGGCATGCCGTCGTTCCTGTTCTAACAACACAAGTATCTTTCACAAGAGAAGACTACCCTAAAATCCTTGAAGACCGACAAAACCATCGTTATCCTGCCTGCGGGCAAGGACATATGACTGTCATAACGAACAAAACTGATTATATTGAAAAGTCAAGTCATCCCCCGGCCGACACAACAACCCATCGACAAATGGAGAACGATCCAACAGTACGGTTGACAAATAAAGCGAATAAGACACTTAAGAGACTTCAAGATTTAAATCAACTCACAAAGGGAGAGCATGACCGAGTGAAGGCTCATGACCCAAACATCGTAGTTTTACGGGCATTCAAAACCACACAAAGTGGGTGCGCCGCTACGACCAATAGTATCACCACTTCCAGGTACACTAACTTACCAGTTGGCTAAAAATTTATGGAAACTCCTCAAACACCTGACCAGCGGATAGCAATACTCGATTAATAATGCTCAGCTTTTAGAAAAGCTCAAATGCATGCGGATAGGCCATGAAGTAGTGATGGTATCCTTCGAGGTCACCGCACTTTCACCTCTATCAATATACAGATAGCGAAGGAAAACATCAGACAACGTCTGAACAGCAGAGGATAAACGATTGGGAATCTGACAATTGAAAGCATATGCAAGCTCCTCGACTTGTGTCTTAACACCTACTTCAAATTCAACGGTGTCTTACGAGCAAGTGAGAGGAGCTAAATGGGATCTCCCATATCTGGACTTATTGCAGAAATCGTCACGTAGAGGATGGAAAAGGATCTACTCCCAGTCATTAGTCAGGAATTATGGGGGCGATACGTTTGTGGTTCTCAAACGTAGCCAGCTACAGACCACACAAGAGCTACTTAACAATGCAATGAAAGGTATTCGTTTCACTATGGAAGAAGAGGTGGAAAACTAACTACCCTTTTGGGACGTGCTGATTACCAGAACAGTGGAAGGCGAACTACAAACATCAGTTTGCAGAAATGCGACACACACCGACCAAATCCTGAACTTCAACAGCAATCACTTTAAGTGTCACAAAATAAGCTGTATACAGACCTGTTTCGTAGGATAGAATCACACTGAAATACTGCGGAGGCGAAAAGAAATGAAGTGGAACATCTGTCTACGACTTGAATCGTCCTCCTGTCCAGGCATTATCTCAGCCCATGTATAACCATGACTATTTCCTCAAAACTCGGCCGCCATGCACGACGCAGGAGCATCTGCTTGTGGTATTATCAATCGTCACCGGACCAGACACTGGATATCCGAGAGGTCGATGAACTTCCTGCATTGCAAACTCGCTCCTAACTCTGAGCACCATGTGACCAGACGGACTATTAGGCGCGAAGTAAAGCGAGCCTGAAGCCTGATGGACCAGTAGGGCTGAAGAAAAGGAGGAGACGGGAGCAAAAGGCAAATATCGAAAGCTCTTCCAGCTGAGCCGCACCAGTGGCCCCAGGAAACCAGGCGTCAGTGAGACAGTCAGCGACAACGCGCGTACCATGATTCAAAATAAGGAACGCCGTATGGCTTGATGGGCGGAGCACCATCAAGATCAGTTCTATTTGCCCTCTGTTGCCGGGCTTCTTCTTACGCTGGTGATGCAGGATGAACCATGGACGGTTAATTTTGAGGCTCCATCGGAAGCTGAGTTCCGAAAGGCGATCACAGTCATCAATCGCTTTCGTGCTGCTGACCAGGATTCCTTTGCACCCGCACTATGGTGGTAAGGTCCTCTGACCTCATTGTTCGAACATGTCTGGGGGGGGGGGGATAGAGAGACCGTCCTGGCTAACTGGAGTGAATTGATTATGGTGGCAATATACATGTGGGGAAGTCGCGCTGACTATGTGAACCAAAGCAGCATTGGTCTAACGCCAGTTGTGACAAAATTACAAGCCTCACTGTGAAACGAGAAAGTCGGATTGGGGAAGAGCCGGCAGGTTTCCGCCCTGGACGGAGCTGTATAGACCATATATTCACTCTGCGGAAGGTGCAAGAGCAGCACCACGCATACCGAGAATAGCTGTGTCCCTCGAGTGCAAAAGTGAGTTAGAATCAGTCGGTCGATCCACTGTGTTCGAAATACTTGCGCAGAAATTTGTGCCCATTAAATATAACATTTTACGTGCCTTATACACGAAGAATACAGACCGTGTCAGGATCTACGGTGAATTATGGGACGTCTTTCTGAAAAGGTGTTAGTCAGGGTTGTCAAATTATCCCATTTTTGTTCAATTTCGTCGTGAACTCCGGCATGGAGTGTTTCGTTGCGGAACCGCAGGATGCAGGGATCGAGGTGCTGCCTGGTGAAAGGCCAATCCAAGTTTATTATGCGGACCATATTATCCTGCTTTCTAGCGTTGTTAAGGCGGCGCAATCAACCCTGAATAGACTTCCTACAGTAGTCTTATAATTTGGTATGCGATTCGCACCTTGAAAGTGCAGTTTCAATCAGGGCCACCAGCCACTTGATGACCTTTTGAACCTTGATAGTGAGGAACTCGAGGAAGTTGACTAATTCAGTTACTTTTGCAGCTGTATCAGCAACGAGGGGCGAATATCAGTTGAAGTCTCCACATGTTTTGTGAAGGCCACAACTGCCTTCTTGGATCTGGGACATCATTGACGACAGGAAGGAGTTTCGCACCGTCTGAAAGACCGTGTTTGCAAGCCCACAGTGAGGGTCGTCTTGCTGTATAGTAATCAGATTTGGGCGTTTCGGTCTGGGATCTGACGCGCCTTCAAGTCCTCGATGATCGCTTACTGCGAAGCATTGCTGGTGTCAGATGGCACCAGCGTGTCCGCAACAATGTGCTTGGGCGAATGCTAGGAAGTTATATTCGGGCTAGTTCCTTAGAACAGATAGCACTGAATAAGTTGCGTTGACTTGGGCACGTAATACATATGCCCGGTCACCACTTACCGAGGAGGGCCTTATTTTCTCTGTCAGATGTAGGGTGGCGCAAGGATCGAGGCGGACAAAAGTTGACTTAGCAGCGTGAAATTAAGTCACTGATGACCAAACTGGGGGGTCGCAGGTGAGTCTCGCCTTGCAAGTTGCAATCCACGTGACTCACCTTGTGCTTGGCTCGAGATTTACAGAAGATGGCTCACATCCAACGCCAGTGGCGCGTTTGTTGCTGTTTCCTAGTCGGACTGCCTGTCTAAATTGTATCTGGTGTTGAGTTATCTGCGGGGTAATGGCTGAGTATGACGCGGGGCAGTGAAATCCGCAAGAAAGCTGTTTTACCGATGCCGCCTTATCATTATACGATAGCCAGCTCTTTGTGACGGTATGTTGTTGACACAGGGTGTCGACGCTTTGACCCTGAATGTTTGCTTGGGGCATTAAGGCTTTCCGGTAAATCTCTCATTGCTACCTCTTATTATTCTTCGTTCCGTAGGTCACCGTGGTTGTACGGCAGCGAAGCATCAGTTAAAATAACTGTTGTACTGCTGCTGTGATGATGATGGGTGACCATTTAAGAAACTTCTTTTGCGACGCGGCTAGATGCTCAGTACAGCTCGGTCGATGAAGTATGATCCGGGCACCGGGGTGCCGTGGATCTAGTTGCCACACCTCACGTCGCTTGAGTAATAAACAACAATAAATTACAAGGTTGAATACAGACGGAAACGAAAGAAAACAGCACCAAAAATGGGAGTGCGCTTAACTAATCAGGAGGGAATTAACTAACAAATAGACGTGAGAAAATGAATGCGGGGAGCCACTACTGACTACGCGGTTGTGCCATCTGTGAAGGAGTTTGCAAATTGGTGCGGAGAATCCAGGAAGATGGCATGCATCAGCCTGGCCAAGTCTTTCATTCAATATTTTTAACCTTTCTGCAACGTCATGGACTGATCACCTCGCGGTTTCGCCAAATTTAGTGCAATCACGGCGTATAATGCACGCCGAGGAAGTTGGTCAATGGGCATACGGAGGACATGACCTAGCCAAGATGAGCGGTTAACATTCAGTAAACACTGGAGTGGAGCACCAGAAGGATTCTTGTCAAAAACCGCCTGGCAGACCTCGACATTGCTCACCCGGTGTTCTCACCAGTTGTCAGCAATACTCCGCAAGCACCGGTGGTCTAACACGCCCAAGTGCTTGAAGTTTTTACTAACTGGCCAAGTCTCTGAACCATACAGTAACACTGATGTTATCGCAGCGTTATACACCCCACCTTCCAATGACAAGCTGATGTCTCACCGTTTTGATGGATGGTTGATACTCTAGCTGAATATTCGGAGAGCAGCAGCAGCAGAAGGGGCGACTAATTTTCTAGACGCGATCAAACAAGGTGTACCACAAGTTCGCATGCACACTACCCGGTTCAGTTCAGTTTGCTAACCATAATCCGTGTACCGAGGCGCACGCTAGATCCAGAGGCACCTTGACACGTGTTGATAAAGTCGTAATAATGATAATAATGATAATAATAATAATAAATCAATAAAATGGACAAGAAAGAGTCGTTAGATTAAGTCGTTTTGCAGTGGAAATAAGAGAGGACCACTGACTTCGCAAATGTGCCATGTCCGATAATGTAGCCAGCCGTAGAAAAGGCTGATCCCGAGAGAACTATCCACGGAGATGAGCGAAAAGCATCGATCATGGCTACTTCATGCTTGTATGCCACGTCTCCTTGACTGACCACCTAAGCAACAGTAGACAACGTAAGCCGAGGCGGCCGGGCCAGTAGAGCAGTTGTCACTAAGTGCTAGATGGCAGATTCCCGGACCGCTCAATCGGTATTTTTTCCTCAAACACGGGCAACACACTCAGGTATCGGAGATCAAAAGTGGTCAAGTTCTAAATGGTCCGCGCACAGCCGCAATGGTAACACTGCGGTGTTGTAAAAATCGGTTTTGACAAAAAATCCTATAAACCTTTGGCTCCACAGATAACTCAGGTTTTGGAAAATTGGGTGAACCTTTGCAATAATTGCGGTATCCACATTGGTGATGCGGCTAACAGAGGCGATACAGTTGCGCAGATAAGCAAAATAATTAACCACTTCGAGCGTTAAATTTTATAGGTGTAAAGCTTGTGCCGACGCGAACAACCCTATACGTCATACTGTACAGTAGCATTCGATCCGAAGAGAACTGTGGTTCATTTAATTTAAGCTTGTTAATCGGTCAAATAGCGAATTCCCCGCTCATAAAGCGAGAGAGAGATCTCGGATAGGGAAACGCTGACGCCTTCCACTCGTCAAGGTAAAGTCGAATGAGCGATTTCCGTGAACCATCACATGGAAACTGAAGTTGCGGTACAGAGATGTCAAGATGAAAGAGAAGTTTACGATGAAACTGTTTAAGGTTAGGCACAATCAACCGATGCAAACGCACTTTTTAAGTCAAAGAAGACTGTTTGCAAGTGTGAAGGGTTTCAAGCACCCGATGAAGAGTAAAACTGCGATCAAGATGCCTTTACTCGAACTGGGAGAGAGAGGAAGACTAGCTGAAGTTTATCTATTCGTCGCTCAAGGGGAGCATCCAATCGTCACAGCATGACGCGTTTCAGAAGTTTGGAGACACAACTGAGACCAGACTGTGATACCAAGATAATTTGACAGCGTGGAACTTTTAAAGATACGGATAGTGACTGAAAGTGAAATAAAGTAGCTAAAGGTCACTAATGCGTCGCCAACAACGACGATGGGTGACTGGCTAGCATGATCAGGCGTTCTAATCCGAGCTTCGGCAGTACCAGCAGTTGTAGAGAACAATAGTGACACAAAGAAGCACGACTTCCCCACAAATTGGCTGGCTTGCCGAAAAACCTCCTTGGCTGGCTTGCCGAACAACCTCCTCGTGGTCCCAGCTGGGTGGTTCGGGATTTTCCTGTTCCAGCAAATGGTTCGGCGGCAGTGTTCCAGGACGTGGTGGGTTTTCGCCTGGCAAGCGTTCTCCCTATAAAAAGCCACATATGTCCGTTTAACAACACTGTGACGTGGCGGACGTGACTTGCCACTAGATAAAGTCACTGCCCCTTGCTTCATCCTGGCGAAGCATTGTATTCCAGCAACTTTGCGCTGTAGTTCTGGGGAGCATTGGGCCTCTGTTTGACAAAGGAACAAACGAAAGGCGTGTGAACTGAGCAATCAGTCACCGGCTCCCAATGGGCGCGATTCCCTGAATTCGCTCCGCTGCCTTGCGGGCAGGCTATTCAGCCAAAGGCTCGGGGTGGTGTCCGCTAAGTCAACACCCTACTTCAGCTTGGGCAACCGGGTAGTATCTCGACCTCTGACGAAACCATGGACTTTAATGTGTTGTTTTCTTTTACAATTTCTGTACCTTCTTTTGTGTTCCATGGTTTCTGATGGCTCTATGTCTATTCATAGATTGTTGCAAATATATATATATATATATATATATATATATATATATATATATACCCGCAAATTTAGCCTGGTATGACTGCCAAACACAGGCGACAACCGAGCGAAGTGGGGAACTGAAGGCTGTATTCGATTCGACTTATGACGAACATAGAAAATCTGATGTGTGTCCACATAGCGGCCGAAATGAAGACGAAGAAGCGAGGCAACTAACCCGTTCGGATTGGTGCTTTAACGCCTGAGCATATCGCTCTTCCTCTTGCTCGGTAAACAGACTTGCAAGCACAGGGTTCAGGTCCGGTGGAGGAAGCTAAAGGTGGAAGATGGGCAAGACACAGCGAGTTTGATGAGACAAACAAGACAAGTTTATATTGGATGAGGGGCTAGTGATGTCAACAGATAAAATTGTACCGCACATCCGAACAAAAGAAGGGATGAAGAAGAAAGCACTTCCCCAATAAGCTGAGAAACACAAGTGGAGGCACTCGTTGAATGGAACCAGTTGGTGCATTATATGCAAGTTAGTTGAAAAATGCGAAAATGACACAAAAAGAATACTTCAGACATCAGCCGATGCCGATGGCCTCTAGACCAATCGCAACAAACCATTGATACAGAGAAAAATTCGAGATCACCAAGTCTGGATGAATCGTTCCCGATATTCGGTGCAGACTGTATTCGTGAGACCAATATCAACAGTTACACTATAGCTAACGATCAAAAACAATTCCCCAGATGGAAAAATAGCCATGTCACCAGTTTCGAAGCTGTAAGAAATCTTGCCACACTGTGAAAAGCTGCTCAGAACCAGAATATACGCTCGTTACAAGTATGCTAACCCTTCGAACAGCCTGTCACTTAGGGCTCTATTTCGATAGTAACGGCTTGTTAGGTGATTGATTACATTCTAGCATAAAAATCCCATCAATCACCATGCCCGTTAAGGTTCCCCTGAGGATCTCCTTTTGCAAACAACAGAGCGATAATTTCCGTGTCACATAATTGCAAACAGCGATTTGGGCAGCTACGACAGATGCGTGGCTACTACGAATAGGTAGGCCAACAAGTAGCCAAAAGCTGCAAAAAGAAGTCGGGCTCCCGAAATGGACTACCGTCTGTCGTCCGTAGAATCACAGTAAGACAGCGAAGCCTGGCCTCTTCGATGCGAAGAGCGTAGAGAGAGATAGTAAACGTACAACGAGGAAGTGCGCAATTACCAAGCGATTATCGACTTCTGAGAACGTTTACCGCAGCTGAACGGCCGTTGGAATCTTACTGCCACTCGTCAGCAACATTCAATGTATCCGACTGGATTCGAACAAACAAGCCTGTACTAACGATCTTGATTACTTGTTTAATTACAACTAAAATCCGCCAACTAATAAGTAAAATGTAGTCTCTCCTAGTTTCAAATGCCATGAATTTGGCATCTAGTGAGGGGAAGTCATGACCTAGAGGCTAGCCACTGTCATCTGAAAGGGTAGTAACCTGCGTGTCACTGGAAGATAGGTCATGGTATATCTCAGTTACCTTGTAAATTATGCAGCCCAGCCAAAGTCCCCTCATGGCTCAGTGTCTTACACTGCTGGCTAGTTGGTGTCCGTCTCCAGGGGTCATGGGTTCGATCCTCAGTAGGGGACCGAGGGAATGCACAACATTAACGAGACCAAATAAGGTGAAAAGCGCCCGGTGCTTTTCAGTATTGCGGTTGAGCTATGTAGCTTATGAGCTACCGGGACGAATACATTAAAAAATACAATTAAATCCTCCTACTGGTAAGTGATGTTGATTAGGTTGGATCGCCAGAGCTAAAAATAGGACTAAATAATTGGGCCAACTTCGCAATAGCTTCCAAATCAGATAGTCCAACACATGACCGGAAAAGTAGTGAACCGTTGGGTCTTCTCAGCAGTACGCATCCATCGGAGCCAACAAGATGCAGGCTCATGACCACATGCGACTTGCATCGCCGGCAAGCAGTTTACGCCACTGAGATATGGGAGGGGGGAACCAAACTAAATACGAGTGTCATTCAATAAATAAGGTGAATTTTTCGGCATCAGGACTTCTAATACAGATAGAAGCTTACTTTTTATCTTTGTTGTTTTACTGCCTTTTCACATGGATGTAATTTCGTTTGCAGACTGAAAAAAACTTTGAGAGTTCTTGAGATTAACAAAGATGGCCGACCAAGAAGCATACTCCAGAATTGAACAGCGGTCAGCTATCAAGTTTTTAGTTGCTGAAGAGTGTAAACCAGTTGAAATTCATAGGAGAATGTCAACCGTGTATGGTGCCACATGTTTCAGCCGAAAAAATGTCTACAAGTGGGCAAAATTGTTTAAAGAAGGACGGAGCAGTGTTGAGGATAAAGAGAGGCCTGAGAGGCCTACAGAAGTGAGGTCTCCTGAGGTGATCGAATCATTCAATGACCTCATTCAGTCGGACAGAAAGGTGACAGTGGATGACATTGCAAGGACTTTGAGTTTATCTGTTGGAACAGCACACAAAATTGTCCATGATGACCTTGGCTACTCGAAGGTCAGCTGCCGGTGGGTGCCAAAGATGCTTAATGCAGAGCACAAACAGAGGAGGGTCGAGTTGTGCCAGCAGTGTCTCTGCCGCTATGAGAAGGATGGTGAGTTTATGAAGAAGGTGGTCACATGTGACCAGACATGGGTTTGCCAATATGAGCCTGAGTCCAAACGGCAGTCCATGGAGTGCAAGCACGTAGGCTCTCGAGCGAAGAAGAAGTTCAAGTCCCAGCGGTCCACGAGGAAAGTGATGCTCACCGTTTTTTGGGGATATGCAAGGCCCAATCACCATTACATTCCTTGAGAAAAGAAGCACTGTGAACAGTGACAACTACTGTGAACTGCTGAGGCAGGTCAAGAAAGACATAAAGAACAAACGCAGGGGTCATCAGTCAGAAGGAGTCATCTTGCATCATGACAACGCAAGGCCTCATACAGCAGCCCGAACGGTGCAGACCATCAACGAGCTGGGCTGGGAGCTGCTCCTTCATCCCCCTTACAGCCCAGACCTTGCCCCTTCAGACCTTCATCTGTTTGGTCCCTTGAAAGCGTTCACGAGAGGCACGAAGTTTGAAAGTGACGATGAAGTCACAAGTGTTGTGAGCGACTGGCTGAGACATCAGTCCAAAAAATTTTACGATGAGGGAATACGGAAGTTTGTGTACAGATGGTAAAAGTGTGTAAAAGTGCTGGGAGACTACGTTGAAAAATAAAAAAGTAAGCTTCTAACTGTATTAGAAGTCTTTATACCGAAAAATTCACCTTATTTATTGAATGACCCTCGTACCACACCGAGAAAGACACAAATTTGCTGATGTAGTAGTACTATGACATAGCATTTAGAGAATTTTGGGATGAACATTTTGATATACTCGTGAGTGGGTGACATTTGATGCCATTAGTTGTGAAGTTATCAGTAACTTTCAAATCGGACAGTCTTCCATATACGCGAAAAGAACTAGAGGGCCGTTTCGAGCTGTTGAGTCTCATCAGTAGTGCGCATCAATCGGATCCATCAGGATTTGAACGCTTGATCACTAGCAGTTTGAAACACATAAAGCAGCTAGCTTATGTCCCTGAGTCATGTGAGACAGCGACGTACTGTCTGAATTTACAGGTCAACTGCGTTGACTCAAATGTACGCTGTGTGCCATCTCAATTGTGTATCACGCGGGAAGTTTGCCTTGGCCAATGCGAAAAATTCCGTAGATCGAAGTAAGAGGCAAGTGGCAGGTAAAGAATTATATTCGCTAAGAGTCTCAACCAAGAGTACGGTTTATTCACTGCAGCGGTCCGCGTGCTTAGCCGGAGAACTTACAGGAAACGGCACATTTGCAATTGCCACCCAGCTGAATCACGTGTTTCAAGCGTGTGCGTGATATCGATCCATCGATAAGACAATTAGACACGTGGCACTGTAAATGGCAAGGGAATCTGTTTCGTCTTATCTTCACAGTAGTTAGCAAGGTGCAGACGAATGGATCCATTATATTTGTATCAATCACGTTTTGCCCCTTTGCTTACTCTGAATTAACAATATCATATTTTGCAGGAGCCTGACAGTGACGACCCAGTACACAGTGAAGATGTCCTATACCTGATAATGGAGACGGAAGAGAAAATAACGCTGAAACTCCGTGGAGTAATGCGAGCGTCCAATGATATGATCACCTCGGTCTGATGAGCAGCAGTCGTGCATGCTCAGTGTGTCATAGAATGGCAGAGAGTTCGGTTCAGTTTAACAACTATGAAAATCAATAAACGAAAACAGTAAGGAAATGAGATTGAATGCGAAGTGAATCATGAGAGAAGAATGCGAAACTAATCGGGATGGAATGATAATTTAAAACAAAGTGCAAGAAACCGAATGAAGGGACGCCACCGCGTAACTGCGCCATGTCTGATGGGGAAACCAACAACTAAGGTGGACCTTCAAGGGGCGCCATCCACGAAGAACCATGCGTTAGCCTGAGGAAGCCTCTATGTCACATCAGGGACTAGCCACTTCGCGAGTTCGTCCAACTTGGTACAGCTACAGCGTATAATGTATACCGTGGAAGCCGGACAACGGGTATAGGGAAGAAATGATCTGGTTAACATAAGCGGTTAATAGAGCAAAGAAGGTACCAGACAGCTTCTTGCTAGAAACCAACTGGCAGACGGTGTTCCCAGCAAATGTGTGCAATACTCCGCAAGCACTTCGGTGATCAAACAGAACGGTAGAGAAGTGGAGGCGAAAATAGATTATGGATAGGTGATCCGACGGTGAAACGACCAGAAAAGACAGAAATCGTGGCACTAACGCTTGAGTACGCAAATAATAGAGACACTACCTTCTTCGTGAGTGATGGGGTCTCATAAGCGAGTAAATAATTCCGCGACACTAGCAGGTACTGTTCATAGGCTGACGGAGCTTTCGGATGAACTTCTACCAGACTGTTGACCAATTCGCGTAACTAGAAAAAGAGGGATAAAGAGACGGGAGAATCAATGTAGCAAGAAAATACAAAAAGTAGGCAGACACAGTGATGATTTTGGCTTCAGCAAACGAGAGTCAATGATCTGGTCAGAGTGGATGAAGATGGACGACAACAGCAAGACGTTTACTCAGTCGTTCAACAAACATTTAGGCACAAATTCAGGAGCTGTTTCAACAAGAGAAGATACAATGATGGGCAAAGAAAAGTACAAGAGGTGAAAAAGACGGAGCAACGAACTGGAAGGTTGATAAAACGGTGTAACTAAATAAATAAATAAATTGTATAGTCCTCGACGATGCGAGCTGTTAACTAGAAGGAACAGATCAAATAATGGTACAACCATTCAATGACATTACATAAATACTTTTTTAGAAATATACATGGGCGCAATTTCAAAATAGGTAACACAAAGTAATCAGAATCATTCTGCTTTTATTTCCCTGTCAAGGAACCAGGATTCTTCAGAATCACATGTCAGATGTTCGGGCTGAGAAAAAATGAAATGAAATGTCTGAAATGTTGTGTATGTTTCGATACGATTCTCGAAAGCGTTATCTAGGGACTGTGATGTCCCGAACATATTAATCACGTTTTGGACGGTTAACAATTTACTAATCGCAAGCTTAAAATTGAAAAGTGTATAGCATGCTCTGATATCACTTGGAAGTCTGTTGCAAAGCTTTGAGTAGTGGGTTAGAAGGAAACGTTCTCTAATTCTTGTAGAAAATTTTGGAATCATGACCTTTACCTCTTTGTTACGCATTGGATATCTGCTGTTTAAAGTTATGTGAACACCGTTAGCAAGACTGGGAATTTGAAAGTTTATGATTCTGTAAAGAAAACATAGGTTCAGCTTCATTATCCGAAGCTAAACTGGGCCAAATCCAAGTTTATCACACCGCTTTCTGTATGTCAACTTTGAGGAATATCCACAAAGCTTTTTCGTGACGCGTCTCTGGACCATCTCAAGAGCATGCTGGTCAGATTTCCCCAGATTAGACTGCGCTATTGAACAGTATTCTATATACGGCAATACATATGTTTTGTAAATCGAGATGCGAGATTCAGTGAGGTAAAAATGATGACAGATGTAACCGACGGTCTTCATGGCTTTCGGAACTTGAAAGTCACAATGCTCAGAAAAGTTAAAAGTGACTGAATATCGCACGCTTAAGTTGCTAACCGCCCTGCATTGCGAGATATATGCGCCTTGTAGTAATAAACTGTCTGGCGGTACTTGGCATTTGCACGACAATATATTACACTTGTTCATGACAAATGACATCTGCCACAGTTGGCACTAGGAGTCAAGGGTAGATAGGTCATCCTGAATGAGATGTACGGCTTCCTGAGTATGTGCACGTGGTTGTGAATAGACAACTTTAATGTCATCAGCAAAGATAGATGTAACAGCATTTCTTATTCTCTGGAATATTTCGTTAATATAAATTAGAAAAAGAAGAGGACCAAGAACACTCCCTTGAATCACTCCACGAGTGATTACTTTCGGTTTAGAGAAATGGTCGCCGATGCGCGCCATCTGCTGTCTACCAACTATATATGAAGACAGCCAAGAAAACATCGGTACTCCAATGCTTATAGCCTTCAGTTTGTTCACTAACCTGTGAGACACTCTATCAAAGGCTTTTTGCATATCCAGGAACAGGATAATACTGTTTCCATTGTCTATGGAAGCCGTTGTGTGGTTTAAAAAGTCTATCTGGCAAAATAAGCACTGAAAGCTTCACAGATATCACCTGGTGCGTCGTAGTATGTTCCATCAGGCGTATTGATAAAATTGAATTTCTCGCTGCAACGCAAACCCTGGACACGAAATGGTTTGGTTAGCTCAGCTGTTTTGCTAGGGCAGTTCAGATGTTTATACTCTTCTAGAATGAGTTTTGTCATTTTGATGCCTCTGTTCTTCGACGAGCTTGGACTGCTGTTATAATAGCGCAAAATCAGCAGTTAACCTGAATTTCTGCCAAATCTTATGAAGCATTTGTGATGCCTTGCGATTGGATTTATGTTTAGTTTAGTAAGCACATTTTAGTGGTGCTGCTGAATCCATGCAGAGGGCAGTTATACTAGAAAACAGGTCCATCGCTTATTGAGGACATGAAGAAAGAAAGAAATTATACCAATTCGCCGAACGAACCAGGTCCTTGAAAGAGTTCCGATTGACGGAACTGAACAGACGATAATGCATTGTGTTCTGTACATCAGCCATACGTAGTCTTAGGCAGCATTTAATCACGCCATGATCGATCCCCGCAAGTTCATCAAGAACGTTAACACTGATTGCAGATCCAAAGTACATTCAGCTCTGGTAAATTGGGAGATGTGTTGCTGCGAGCCATCCATTTGGATACAGAAGACGAGTTTGGCATTTCAAAGGAGCGGTACCCATGGGTCATGAAATCGAACGCAGGCTAAAATCACCTCCAATAATGTTATGTATAAATGCTAGGCTAGCGGCGCGTTCAAATACAAACGCCAGAAGCTCTAGGTGTTCTTGGCAGTAGTTTGGTGCGCTGTATATACATCCCATAAGCAGCTGCTGTTGATTAACAGATATCGTAAGCCATAGTGATTCCCAGACATCATTCAGCACTGGGTTCTCGATTGTTGCTGCTGCGAGCGAACTTTTCCCATAAATAACACAGCCACCGCCTCGACGACTAGGCCGATTTCTCACAAATTTGTCATACCCAGTGGCCCGTCCGCTGTGGTCTCCTAATCGGATTGCCTGTTTAAAGTGTGTTTGGTGCTATCTGCCTGGTAATGCCTGATTATAACGCGGGGCAGTGAAAGTCGCAAGCAAGCTTTCCCACCGATGCCGCCTTATCTCTGTACGATAGCCAGCTGTTTGTGAGGGTATGTTGTCTACACAAGGTGTAGGCGCCTTGACCCTGAACATGTGCATAGGACGTTAACGTTTTCATGTAAGTCCCCCTTCTCTCCCTCTTATTGTTCTTTATTTCATAGGTCCTCATGGTTGTATGGCAGCGAAGCATCAGTTCAAATGGCTGATGTACTGCTGCAGTTGATTGTGGGTAGCAGTCATTTCCATCCATGGGCAGAATTCGCTCAGTTGCGCTCAAGGCTTTACCACACGCGATGGAAGCACACAGGTTTTAATCCATACACCACCATCAGCGTAATCCGTGGGGTTCGTTGATGGAATCGGAAAGTTGTGGTACCCAATTACACCGTGGTGGCACGTCTTCCATAACTTTATGACCAATGGATGCACGTCTGTCCAAACAAAACGACAACACAGGGTCGCCCGATGGCGGTTGCGATAAATATAGATTAACCGTCCTTTACTATCGATTTGACCGGATCCGCTGATATAGTCGATGAGCTTGACACTGGCCAGAGCAGACTGTAGGCGTGCTTAAAGCATCCGTTTCAAGATAAAGTGCTGGAAAGCTGATAATGGGCAAAATCTGGTCAGACTACACACAAATTCGAAGCCCCCTATTTAAGAGCTTTCCTTGAAAGCGCAGCTAGAGTAGAGAATCCCACAAAGTTAGGCTCAAAGAAAACTATGGATGAAAGAGATCAACTAAACGATTTGAACGCACGACAACCCATGTTTAGATATAGGTTCAAAGCGCGAGCAGATGTTAGCAAGAGCCCCAGAGGGGAAACTGTGTGTCCACGTCAAACCTGTAGAGGTACAGAGCACTTTAACAGCCTTTTTAATACTTGAAAAGCAAAGTTAATGAGCAGGCCTCGGTGAAAAATTTCCAGAAAACACAAAAAAACAAAGTGGAGGAAAAGGAATACTAAGCTTACCTTCTTTTGCAAAGCAGCGGCCTTCTCATATGGGTTCTCAAATTCAAGCAATTGAGGGAAACGTTTGTCATCGTCTAAACTTGCCGGACAAGTAAGAATACTCAATGCTTCGGGTTTCTGAGATTCATCGGGAGTGACTTCCAATTTGGCCTGAACAACGGGTGGTGGTGCAGGTGACGACGATCCTGTCGCTAACTTAGATTTTGTATCTATCATATAGATTCTATCATCAGCCTCAGGAGACGCTCTCATGCAGGGGCTGGACACATTGTTGTCCACCCTGGTTCCGACGGATGGGGACACTGATTCCACTTTGAGTGTCGAATCAACTTCGTGAAAGCCAGGATCAGGCTTGATAAGCAATACTGTGACTGGACCAGTGGTTTCTGGGATATCGGAGCGTTCCCCATTCCCGCAAGTCACCATGGGGCTTGTGCTTGTCCCGGTGGCGGAAGAGGTGGTGGAAACGGAGTAACTGTTTCGGTGTTGTTGAATAGACTGTGCCGATGAGACCGCTGCGTCAGCGTTGCCTTCATTTCGAGATCTCAATTTCCGTTTCTTTATCGGTGTGACGTTCGCTATGTACGAAAGAACGCAGGATGCTCATATTATAAAGGCAAACGTCTGTCCGTTAAATTAGCTGAATATGTGCGATGCCCAGGATGAAATAAAACAATGCACCGCGCCCAATCAGATCACGTCAAAATGAATAGGGAAACAAACGTCAAAGTTATTTTGGGCATTCAGAAATGGTCGCTTCGCGCTCACCGTGCCGTTCCTTCTCCTCGCGTTCCCGCTGAGCTGCAGTGTGTGATCGCAACGTTCGGCCACCACGATGCCGAAGATCCTGGAAAAAGGGGAGAATGAACTGGTTTGCTGTGACGAGAAAATGTTGACTCACAGGAAACTGAGATCATGACTGCGGGCGACAACAGGCTTCGAAATTAGAAAGCAGAGAAAGACAAACATGTTGCTCACGCCACCTCGTATCCTTAAGTTGCCAGAGGAAAATGGAAACAGGGTTAAAATCATTGGAAAAATTAGTGTTAAACAAACGTTGGTAGGCGAAATTATGGTACGACAACGGAACTATCCTTAGGTAAGCATTGGCTTTAGATTTAGAGAAGAGATACCGCATGACGATTAAACTAGAGAACGGTTAAAAAGACAACGGGCGGATTTGTGCGACATAAAACAAGTAAACGTTTGAGATACAGCAATTAAAAAGTACTGACGAGATGAGATCATGTGACAGGGGGCTCAAAACACGGTAAGGAAAAAAGCTAGTGTTAATTGCATTGGCAGTTTCTTGACAAGCAGGGACGCACATCGGAAACTTCGCCTTACTGTTATAAACTGTGGAACGAGGATAGTAACTACACCATTTCCCGGCTAAGTTGTCCTCTTGGGCAACAGAAATAATCTGAGGGGGCATTCAACATGAGTCTACTCAATTAATTTGTTCCGTGCGTAGGAGCTGAAGCGTCCCACCTGCACCCCCTGACTTAGTGCGTCGGAGGTCCAATAGGCTAAAGGCGACGGGCTATACACGCACACCTACACACCTGCACGAGTGACTGGCGTACGCACGGAACAAATTGATTGAGTAGACTCATGTTGAATGCCCCCTCAGAATAGTTATGTTGCCCAAGAGGACAACTTGGCCGGGAAATGGTATAGACAGTGAAGAGTGAACGGTCGTGAAGCCTCTCCTAAGTTGAGGTTACATGGGACCGAGATACCGGAGGCTAGACATTCCCTTTGAGAAAAGCGACAACTTGCGCACCTCACAGACACACTGAGCTAAACTGCGTGATGATTTCCGGCAATTTGAGACCAAATGAGCAAATGCTTAGGGGGGGGGGACAGAGAAGCGGCGTTTCCAGATTCCCATTTATTCGCGTCGGCATGGCTCGAATTGTGATAGATTACTATACCTCCATTATATTGCAGCTCGGTATAGACAAAGAGCTTGGGTTGATGATGATCTGAACCTTATTGCTGGTGAATTGTTGTTTACTGGCAGATAGTGCAGAGACTGGCATCTGTGACGGAACAAGGGAAAGTGTGTAGCTTGGGAGAGACGTACGTAGTAGAAGCCGAGAATTCAGTAGTGGACTTTCGTAATGGATGAGTGAACACGCAGCGATGATATCAATAGATGGAATGCAGCACAATTCAGAGGTGCCGGAAATAATGTCATTCGCTAGCGGACTTAACATAAGCAAGCTTCTGTTTGCAGCTTGACAAGTTCGGTGACGACGATTGCTATACGCTTCCGACATCAACAAGAGTGGTTGCAGGCAATTAGGTGCATAAACGTATATCGTGGAGAATGAAAAAAGGAAGAAATAGTTAAGGTATATGTGGTGTCATTGCATTCAGAAGCATTCGCGCAGAGCATGATGCAATTCCAAGAGAGTTACAGTGTCCCATCACTCTACAGTGGGAGACATACGTTCAGGGAAAGCATTCAATCATGATCTATGCTGACAGATTACATCACAAAGAAGAGGTGACGCAGCCCTGCTGGGAAGAAGATGGCAAAGAGTCTCTCTTGGAGCTTACAACCAGTTTAACTGGAAATGTCTGGGAATCGGAACCCCGACTGTGTCATGAAACGTATCTAATTTGATACTGTTCAACGGAAGAATTCCTGGATCAATACCAAGTACACAAAGCCTTAGTCAGAGACCAACTGCAAAGCCGGCAAAAGAGTTCTACAGCCGGGAGACTTTGTTACTCATTATGAACCTTATTCTACCTATATAGCTTGCTTCGTGTGCTAGACGTAAGGCTACTGGTCGGTTTTGGTGATGCGTTGTCTACCTAAAACAGTACCAACGGAGCAGAACGATCAAATTTTGAGCAGGAAAGCTAAACAGTTAAATTCCGAAACGATGTTGAGGCAAAAAGTGGTTTCAGAATGAGGTGCTTTCGCAAGTGCAACGCTCACAGACAGAGGCGACCAGCTAAATTGAAGTCCACCTTCAATGCAAAGAACTTGGCCATAGAAAACATTCTGAGTTACTGGTCAGTGTGAACTCACAAAACCGGTGGGATGACCAACGAGAGTAGTTTGAAGTCCAAACACACGCAAGTGAGGTGAAAAGGTCGTTTGTCAGACATCGACAGATAGACGTGAGCAGCACCCGATTCAGCACATGAAAGATGTGATAAGCTGTGTAATATAATAAATAAAAGTCAGTTGCGAATCTCTAGTAAGCGCTCAGTACTATTACCGATGACGTAAGACAGTTTGTTGACATGGCGAATAACCGACCTCAGTGGCGTTCGTGTTGAAAATTCCTTTGCGATCCAAACACGGTCCCACCGTTGATACATAATTAAACACAAAGCATAACATAGTTTTGTTTCGTTTTCCTATTCAACGCCATCTAATCGCATCAGGTGGCGGCATTTCTCGCCTCCAACTAACCTGGGAGATGGAAGAAATAAGCGTAGTCGATATGACACAATGCAGCAGCTTACCTTACTTATTTTTGCAGTTCCTTCTGTCGTAGAGTTGATCTGAGACTCCGCGAAGTACTCCGAGAGTTGCGATTGCGACTGTGGACCGGGGGCGGAAACCGGATCTCCGAGAGTATCACATAAATCGCTCGACAATACGCCACCATCACGAGAAGTGGCCATACTGGCATTAAACTCATCTTCCTCAATCTTCGCATAACTCATACTAATTGTAGCTGAAGCAGGTGGCGCAATCTCAAGAGAGCTCGTGGTGATGACCGGTTTTTTCTCACCAGAGGATAAAACATCCTCCGAGTTTGGGTTGACGTCATCTGTAGGCAGCAGGTGCGAGGAGAGTTTGGAATCATCGCTCGCCGCCGTGGCAGCAGTCCCAATGGATTCTGGATCACATGAAACACCAGGAGCAAATTTGATACGCAATGGAGGTACCTTTTGTGAAGAACATCCGTCATCCGAGTTAAAATCCATGGAGGGGATCTGAAATGATATCCAATGGAACCAAAATATATGACCGGTGAAGATGGAAAAAACTGGAATTAGGGAGGATGTAACATGCGAAAAACCCGGCGGGAAATTTTTTTGGTTCAATGCTGAAAAATACCGATCGTTCATGAGGCAGGAATAACTAAAAAGTGATTCAAAAGCATTTGTTGGACAATCAATTCACGGTCAGAGAGGTAATATGGAATATTGCAGGCATGCGATCAAAAAGACGAATTCATCGTCTGGGTGACGAGTAGCGTTTGACATAAGAGATTGTCAGTGGACGACAATTTACGCTGAAAGAGCGAGAGGTAATAATAAGGCAATTCACTAAAGCCATTCTTTCAGACGACTTTAGGTCTTTCAGGATCACAAGGGCTAGCAGCACGGTTACTGTCGCCATCGGTACCGTCACCATCATGAGTAAAGAGTAGTTGTAGAGATCACAATAAGCGGTAACCAAAAAACATCATTGGTTTAAACTAGAGTTCAAATGGTAAGACCTTTAAATTGGCCGTTGCCGTTTCCGCTGCGGCATCGCTTTTACGTTGTCCACTATGAACATGCCATATTTAACAATATTCTGATGAATTTTTTGGCTGAGACCATCTCACTCTGCCGATTGAAATTGAGATAGTGCTCATATTTCATATTTGTCAAAAAATTCTTTAGTGAAACAATCGATGGGATGAGGATTTTGGTAAGCTCTCGCCACGCAATATGCTATCATTGCTAACATTGCAGGACTGTTTGCTCGAAGTCTCTCTCCCGTGACTCTCGTGGCCGTGTAAGGGTCTACGGGAAACTGTCTGAGTTCCGAACGACAAGTGGGGTTCGCCAGGGTTGTTCTATATCTCTTTTCCTCTTCAACTTTGTGATCGAAATGAGTGACTCTGTTCTTGCAGACGCTACCGGAGTGGAGGTTATACCAGATGACCGACTGACAAACCTGGAGTATACGGACGACATAGCTCTCCTTGGGTTCGATGCAGTGGCTATGCAAACACTGATAGATAGACTGTCGCGTAGCGCCGCACGAATCGACATATGCCTTACACCTATAAAGTGCAATATACTGCTGCAGGACTGGACCGACACGCGACCCGTATTTGGTGCAGGAAGAGTGAGTGAACTGCTCAGCACCATCATATCACGCACCCGGATCCGATGGTTGGGCCACGTGTTGCGCATGCCAGCACACTGACTCTTGCGACGTACATTGTTTGCGCGCCGGGTGTGCGATCGGAAGAGGAGGAGGGGAGGCCAAGCGAGAGAGATGAAAGTCCTCACTTCGAAGGTGGCGTCGATTGGTGCATCCCGACTGCCTGGCTGGGATCCTAAGAACGATGAACACGTCTGCTTGCACACACTTGCTGCTATGGCTAGGAGCAGGCCCCAGTGACGTTTGTGATGAGTTCGTTTGTCCATGCCCCTGCTGCTTAGCCTCCCGTTCCAATCACGATCGCATTCGTTAGGCAACTAGCTGCCCGGAACGATATCCATCCGTTACTGAGGACTCAGCCGGCGCGCCACTGTCGTTTTTTATTCTTGCTCTTTGTATTGCGGCACAATAGCTGAGGCTTTTTCCACCTGTAGCTAACGTCTATGATGGTGATGATGATGGTGATGATGATGGACCGACACCTTCGGTTCTAGCTAATACCGAATAGCCACTGGAAGTGGTGGATCGGTTCAGTTACCTTGGTAGCCCTGTCACCTATGGTGGTCACAGCACTGAGGAAGTTATTTCGCATATCAGGAAGGCACGTGGGGCGTTTCAAAGACGCAACCATCTATGGAGACGGCGGGATATAAACGTGTCGGTGAAAGATAGGGTGTGTAACGCTGCGGTAAGTTTGGTCTTATTGTATGCATCAGAGACCTTGCCAGCGTGCGGCGAAGACATTAAACACTTGGCCATGTTTGACCACCGGTGCTCGCGGAGTACCGCTCACGTCTGGTGCGAACACCGGGTGAGCAACGCTGAGGCCCGCCATTTGTGTTTGACAAGAAACCTGGTGCCTCACTGGAGCGTTTGCTGAATGTTAGTTGTTTACGTTGGCTAGGCCATGTACTCCGTATGCCCGTCGACCGGCTTCCTCGGTGTGTATTATACCCCGTGGCTGCACCAAGTTGGGTGAAATCGCCAGGTGGCCAGTCCACGAGGTGGCATAGTGTCATGAAGAGACACTTGGTCAAGCGGGTGAGTGCCGTCTGCGTGGACGGGGCTCTCGGGATGGTACACACCAATAGTTAGAGACCGTAGCTGACACGGCGCAGTCACGCAGTCAGTCAGTGGCGTTCTTGCATACTGTTGCTAATTTTCGTTCCATTCTGATTAGTTTAACGCACTCCCTTCGTGCTTCCATTTTCTTTACATGCTAGTTACCTTCAACTTCACTATCTTCCGGAGGTTATTTATTATTATTCTTGCGATGTGAGTCACGACAACTGGATCCATCGCACTTCGGTGTTCGGATCATAGTTGATCAACTGTACTTAACTGAACTGTTCGCTCAAATGACATCTAGGCACACTCTTCTTATTTCATTTGTCTATTTTTTTTGAAACCTTGAATGTTTGCTGCTACTGTTTAATTCCATTGCGATTTATAGTGTAAAATGCCGAAAAATGCATCCATCCGGATGATACAGAAAACTTTTGTTTGACTTGGCTTGATACATCCAGAAAAACGACCATCATATTGAGGATTAATAGGGCAAATGAAGCGTCGCATCAAACTACAGACACTGTAAGACCGAAAACAGCAGCTAGTATATGTGTGATAAACTACTTTCGAGTACTCGATTTCGACAATCTCGGTGCGACAGTACCACATGAGAGTAGTCTCCAACGGATGGTTGGATGTAAATATGGATTGACAACAACATCACTTAACCAACCCCCCGGGGAGGCACATCAAAAACGCAAGTAAATATGGAGCAGTTAACTCATTTCAAATCACGCGAAGGTTCACCGATTGACCTACTTATACATCCATCGGTTCAGTTTATTTGGAACGCGTCTCATGCACTGATAGCTGCTCCGTAAAACATGCAATGTTATCAGGGTTGCTGAATGATCACTTTGGCGGGGATTGGTAGTGTGCTTAGAATAAGATGGATTCGAACAGGAAATACGCAAAATTTTGATTAAAAACAAATAGTGAAGGATGCAACAGAAATTCCAATTGTTTGAGCTCAGAACTACTGCTGGGTATGCCACTGCAGGAGCGAATCCAAAAGAGGGCGAAAAACAACGAATTGGACATTTAAAGGAACGACTTAGTCTGCAGACACAAAGCCAGGTTCAGTTTTAGGCTATTAAATATGGTCCATGTGCCAAAATTCGGCGGGTCTAGTTACCGTGATACAAGTCACCAAATGATCACAAAGAAGGAGAAAAGGCACAATACGGCCGCTTTGCTAACATGGGACCAACAACAGTCCCGTGTGGGCTGCGACACCGCCGCGAGGTAGCCCGCGCCTACGCGGGTTCCAACCGGTTGCCTTGGGATTTGCAAAACAACCACGTAATACTTTTGGCCTCCGACCATCCAAAATGAGCAAGTTATGGAGAACAATAAATCAAGAGGAAGACGGAAAAAACCAAATTGCGCAATGCAATAGTAAAGAGTCCAAGCTGAGAGAAAAAAACCTGACTGCGCAAATGCACCATGTCCCATAGTCTCCAAACACTGGTGTGGACCAGCGTGGGGTCCCCAATCACAAAGACGGTAAGCACCAGGCTGACAGAGTCTCTCGGTCGGTTACTTCATACCCTTCTGCTACGTCAACGACTGACAACCTTGTAGTTTCGTTCAACATGGTGCAACCACGGTGTATAGTGCACACCGAGGAAGCCGGTCGAAGAGCATACGGAGGAAATGACCTAACCAACGTAAACCATTGAGCTTTAGCAAACACTCGATTGAGACACCAGAGTTTTATGTTAAAAACTAACTGGTGGACCCCAGTATTGCTCACCCGGTGACCAAAGACGACCAACTGTTAGATGTCTTCACTGCAAACTGGTCATGTCTCCGATGCATCCAGTAACAATAGCCTCATCAAAGCGTTATACATCTTACCTATCACTGAGAGGACGGCAAATTCGGCTCAATCATTGGTCGAGCTCCGACTTTATGCACTTTGGCCATCCTCGACTATCGATGAACTAGACATAGTATTGGCGAACAATGCACACAGTCAGACATTGTATTTCAAACAGATGTTCTCAAGCACATGATCCACGAGGTGGTCCAAATTAGATATGCAATCAAATGAGACACCGAAAGGTAGGCTGCCAAAACTCACACAGTGAACTTTACCGTGCAAATCACTCGATTGTCGCACCCAATAAGTCGAAACTGCCTTCTAATAGTTTCCCAGGTATGTGGAAAAGCAGAAGGCATCAGCAGTATGATGGTAAGCTGCAGCGCAACTACAACCAGTCGCATGTGGGCGGCTAAGGATACTCTGCCAGGGTCTCCCGGTCCCTACGCAGGCTCGGACCCACGCTCTTAGATTACAAGGCAGGCGGTTTGTCATCCTTAACGCTACAGGTCGGCGGACATATGGAGGATTATCTGATCTGGAAGTTATTCCGAAAAAAACCCATATTATTTAGCGAGAAGCGTTGGTCAAAAATATACAAGCTAATCCTATTGATTTTCACATTCAATGGACGGATTCCAGTACGATGTCAGTTCCGGAGGCATTTTCGATGCTATGAAAGACTTCATTCACTTCGAAGGACCTCATCCGTCAGGATGGTTAGCAGGTGATATCGTAAGTTTGCATTGTTGGCACACATGGACCCGCAAGGCACACCAGACACACTCCAAAAAGAAGAGGACACAATGAATGAAGCGTTATCCAAACTCATCGACGCAGCATTAGCATCCATCGCTAGTGAAGGCTTCAAAAGTTGTCAAAAAGGTCACAGACAGCTACAAGGCATCACCAGATGCGATTACGCACATTAACGTATGT